GGGAAATCTCAGACATCTGTGATTGTGATATTACTTGGTGGTTCTGGCAACTTGATGTCTGGCATAGCTCTTGATGTGCTAACAGGACCTATTCAAAAACAATGCAGGGACTTCACACCCATATTTCTTCCCTGGCTTTTTCTGGATTGGGTGTGTTTGCTGGACTGATGCTTCATGGCAGGTCTATTCCTTGTTCCACTAAGCATTATTATCTACAGCCCTGGGTGGATCACAGATTTCTGCGGTCAGAGGACACCCCAAGCTTTTAGAGGAAGGACGGTAATAGGAACTCGAGGTATGTAAAGAGCAGTGCTGTTGTAATGCTAACTGTTTTCAACATCCTTGCCTATTCAACCCACTTAACACAAGCAATTGGTGTTCTGAGTGAAAGAGTTGCTGTTGGTTCCTGTGTAACAACATGGCTTTGGTGAATCCTGATGGAATCTGTGAGGAGAACCAGATGCTGTTGGATGCCCTGCAGGTGTCCAACTGGAGAATGGAAGCTCTCAATAATGCAGGTATACTGCTATTCAATGCAATGTAGGCTTTGATGGACCTTCTACAAAGGCGCTAACACAGCGTAGCAGTTTCTCAGGCCTTACTATGCTAGTCAATGGACCATGAACTGGAATTGGAGAACTGAGAGGAAGCCATGGATCTTGAGGCTGACAGGGTTCTGTGGATCAACTTACAGAGCAATGATCACAAGGTTGGGACCTACATGAGCAGTTCTGAATGGTGTGAGTGCATTGTACTGTCAATTTGGTATGATCAACAGTGGCTCGAGAGCTTCTGCATGAGCAGGGACACATATCTGCACATAGTCTCACAGATGCTGCTGCACACTGAATGCCAGGACACTGCCATGTATCACCCCACTGCACCAGAAAAGAGGGTGGCTATGGCCATCATGAAATTGATCACCCCTACCAGCCTCCACTTCATCGGGAACCAGTTCGGTGTGGCTCCCTGCACAGCCAGGGTGGTGATACATGAGGTAAGCCAGCTGCTACAGGATGTTGTGGCAAACAGCTTCATTTGCCTCCATAACCCCAAGGAAGTTGCAGAAGGTTTCAAGGCCATGGGGTTCCCTAACTGCATGAGTGTACTGGGCAGCACACATCCCAGTCCTATCCCTATCACAGGGAGCTGGTCATTCATCAACAGGAAGGAATTTGCCTTGGTGATCCTCCAGACCACAGTTGATCACCGAGGATGGTTCACTAACATTTATACAGGCTGGACAGGTACCACGCATGATGCACGTGTCTTTCAAACCTCGCCACTATCTGGCATGATGGAAGAAGAACAATAGGCACCCGGGGTCCCTGATGCAGTGATCCATAGTGTTGCAATGTCCCTGCTTATCATAGCAGATGTGGATTACCCCCTCCTGCCCTGGCTCATAAAGCCATATGGAGGGCAAGTTACTGACCAGCAAAAAATGATATTCAACTACTATCTCAGCAAATGTCAGATGACTGCTGAATGCAATTCACAGGGTGCTGATTCGTGCACATAGTATAAGCACTTGGAGAATTTCAGTGCCCTGTTTGGAGAAGGGGGAGGTGATAATGAAGTGGCCATCTGCTTCTGTCTCCTTTGGGGTGGTATGTCCAGTCAGAAGGCCAGGGCCTCCTGTTAGCCTGGGGTGGGGAGGAGCTTGGATAGTTGGTATATGGATTTGAATTTGGCAGGTGGAGCATGGGGGACAGCCTGAGAAAACTGGGACTTGGGCTGTGGGAACAGAGAAGTGGAGAGCGGTGTCTGGGGATGGAAGGGAAACATTGAACGAAACAATAACCCCCAGCAGTGCAGGAATGTGAATGCAGGAGTGTGGCAGCAGAAGGAGAGGGTTGCAGGTGCCTTCTGGGATTGGGACCCCAGTGCAGGGAGGTCATTATCAGAGTTCCAATTTGCTCACCACAACACTCCAATGTGCATATGAAGGTATATATAAGAAATTAATGGGGTGCAGATTTGTGCGCATATAAAAAGCCCTTGGATAATTTCAATGCCCTGTTCATAGAGGTGGTTGTGTGAGTGAAATAAAAAAAAAAACAAGCAGATTTACCCACGAAATAAATTTTACTTGGTGACATAGAAATAGGAAAATAAAAATAAGATAAGAATAGAAATAAAGATAGGAATGAAAAGAATAAAATAAGAATATATATTTAAAATATTGGTGTAAAAAAATTCAAAAACATTTTTAAATATGTGTAAAATTCAATTAATGAAATGTCACTTAATTAAATAAATTTATTTAAATTGCACTACTTTCAGTCATCTGTACATAACAGTGAGCTGTGAGCTATAGACATCACTGGTCTATAGCGGGGGTTAATGCTGTGCAGCACCCCCTGCTATAATTTAGGATGAAGAGATCAGTGGGATGGCTTGTTATGCAGCACTGCCTGCAGTAATTTACTTTGAATAGTGCATTGAGCATTTCATGAGATTTAAGACGGATCATGTGTAAATAGTGACTGAAAAATAAAACCCACTGTTTCAGTTTAGGGGGCATAAAATGAAACTTCAAAGGACTAAATCCCCATCATGTGTACAAGGGCTCCAAGTGACAATAAATCAAAAACAAATTCAGATCATTCTTTCTAAACCCTACTTTGGCACAGAAAGGTCTATTGCTAGCACTGGCCGTCCAGAGTGCCCAGACACCAGCAGCTTGACCGCTGAAAGCAACAGCGAGCAAGGGGCCACCTGAACACCATGTGCCTCAAGACAGCACTTCCCATGAGTAAATACGTAGGTCTGCCCTTCTCTCTATTCTCTAGCAGAGTAGAATGGATACCCGAGATAAGATAGATGATTCCCTCCTCAGAATTAGCACAAATGACTGCCCAGCACCCAATTCCAACCAGAGTTAGATGAAGGGGTCTCTTATTGCTTGCCAAGATTACTCCCAGGGCAATCCAGTTCATGCACTGCCTTACACAGGGATGTGCCTATGAGTAAATGCCAACCAATCATGAACTCCCTATGCAAATGGATTTAATAACTAAGGAAATTCTACACATATACTTCATATTGGAAAAAATCTCTTCAAATGATGAATTTTACACACACACACATCTTCACTAATGCTTGAGTTAGATCTTTGGCCCCCTTTACTCTGTAAAATCTAAATCCAAAATATTCAGAAATGGTAATATCACTTTATACACTCTGTTAATATATTCAATTTTGTATGGTTTACCCTGATTCATGCCAAAAAAACTGACAAAAGGGAAAACATACGTGCAGGGACATTGGTGAGAAGTCGGTTACTATATAGTTTTAATATTTGTTTTTGCATTAGTTTTAAACATCTGTTTACACTGCATTTTATACATGTATGTGGGGCAAAGACAGAGATTCCAACAATTTCATTTGTTTCATGTGGTCACTTCTTGTCTGTTTCACCTCATTTCCATCTGTTTATTCCATTCAATTCAGTTTTAATTAAAATACAAATACAATCTAAATCTGTGATCTGTGGAATTGGTAGGAAAATATGCACCAGATTGATCACAGAAATAACAGGAAGACTGAGGGGGGAAAAGAGACAGTGAGCTTAGTGAGCTGAGCAATAGGAGAAAGGGCATATAAAGTAAAATCCAAAGGTTATTTAGATAATGTTTTCGTAATAAAAATAAGCAGTAACTGTTACCATTAGTATTATTAGTACATAACTTGATCACGATATAATTTAGAGGAAGTTATACAAGATGCCTCAATTTAGCACTTAGAAATAGAAAATGTGAAGTATAGTATGCAACTAATCTGTATAATCCATAATTTCATGGGCTTTGCACATCACTGGGGTCAGTGAAAAAAAAAGCTAATCGTCATGTTATGTTCTGAAGAAAAGGAGCATCAATTAATCCATTTTTTTCTTAGATTTTTTTTTTGCCTTTTTAGAATCGGACACACAAAACCCAGCTTTTAGTTTTGCTTTGTCAAGTAATATGCCTACTTAAATTTTTCAGGGATATATTCCTAATTGTGACTGATTTTAGGTGTATTGGTGATGTAGAAACTGAAAAGTTGATCTTAGGTTTTATAAGTAGCTGGTGCTAATTTGAAGCATATAGATCTCTTAGGTTTTCAAACTTGGGTTGCAAATCATGTGTTAAGCCTCTTTATAGCATGGACAAAAGTGATTTAAAAAAATAGAGCTTATTCTAGCATTTTCAAATTCAACAGAAAAAGTTTGGGTTTCATTTGGCTGTTTGGGTTGAATGTTCAGATTAGGGATTCAATTTTTTTTCACTTAACGAGACTTTTGATAAAAACATTTTTATCACTTTCTACTATTTGTTTCTTTTGGTGTCATTAACTGGCCAACTTCATTTTGAGAGTGGTAGTTAGCTGTATTAGTTTGAAGTCACTCAGAAAGCAGGGTAGATAGATATGCACTTTTATAGACAACTAAATAAGATATATAGAGAAAGCACAAGCTTTCATGAACCCAAGTTCTCTTCATTAGATGCTGTGAAAAGACATGTAGAAAGCAGAGTATAAGGAGAGAAGAACTGAAATACAAAAGATAAGGGAAGGGGTGGGGGTTGAGGGTGGAGAGAAAGAGAGAGAGAGAGTGGACAGGGGGTAGTGCTCGGAGAGAAAAGCAAACAATCAGTAACTTGATTCTTGTCATACTGGGTTTAACGAATAGCCAAAGGAAGACATTTGTACTCAGTGCTATAGACTATGGGCATGTGAAGACACAAGACAAGGGGCATGTATGCATAAAACTTTAAAGCAGGTTAAATGCTTTTGCACTGCTTTAATGGCACTGGTGTTTGCATGCATCAGCGCTGTATTGCACATTAATTCCAGTCGCTGCAGCACGTTTGGCAGTGTAATGCACCTTAAATAACTTTGTGGTGCAACAAACTAAAACACCTCCAAGGAGTTTTAGTTTGCTCCCCTACAGTCATGGAGCGTAGCACCGGGCCCCGTGTGGCTCAGGGGCTGTGTGTTCAGGCAGCCTGGCAGCAGCCCGGGAAGGCAGGCTCCACTGAAGAAAAAAAGAAAAAGCGGCGAGCCTGATCTTTTTTTTTCCCCCCCCTGGAGCCTACTTGCCTACATGAGCTGCGCGGGGACCTGGTTCTTCTCTCCGCGGCTGCAGTGCCCCCTGGGACCACCTGAGCCAGGTGCTGCCTGGGGGATGCCACCACTGCCAGGGAGGGAAGCACCAATCCCACCTGCCCTGCAGCCCAGGGACCACTTCGCCCTCCCATCCCTGCCGCCAGAGAGGCAGGTAATACACAGGTGTACACAACACTGGGGGTTTACTAAATTGAAATGGTGTTTTTAGAAACACTGCTTCAATTTAGGGTAAAGTAAACCCCTGTTTCATCTACGCACACTCTATCATCCTAGGATTATGATGCACCAATTTTGCAGGCAAGGACCCTATCCCTTTACCAAGAAGATCTGTCCCATGTAAATGAAAATGCATTCACATCTAACATAAACCTATCCTGTTCCATCTTGTTTGTTGTAAACATCCCTCATTCTCTCTCCTTCCAGCTTTA